TGGATAAAATCAGCTTATCGAATAAATTGATGGCTAACCTTTTATTCTGTTCCGGTTTTAATTATCTTGAAATTAATTTTATCTTATCTGTTTTGTCGTTTGACTGCCAGAAGTTTTTAACTAATAAAATGAGACCTTTGAGTCCACTCTGCACTATATATCAAGTGATTGAGCTAACCGAGCTTTGTCCATATTTCATTTGCTCATATATTTATTAACGATCTAAAATATGAAATTAAACTGGTTTAGGTCTCCATCGAATGTTGTATGAACATATAACAAAGGATTATACCTTGCCTTTCCTTACATAAGGATATGTTTCATATCGTATATCACTAATGAGTTACCATGATGATTTGAAAAAGTTCATGCAATACTTCAACAAATGTTACCTGAAAGACATCCCATATCAAGCAATTACATACGGTAATATGTGTGATGTCCATCGATTAATAGAAGATTATGAAAAGACATTTTCGTTGCATCGAAAAGCGTTAAATATTCAAGAAAATATTCAATGTAATTCTTTGCATTGTGCAACGGCATACACAAGTTTAGGTGAAACTTATCGAGAAATGAAAGATTATTCTATAGTATTGACATGCTTCGAAAAAGGATTAGAAATACGTGAAGAAAAGCTACCAGAAAATTCTCTTGATTTAGCTGTAATTTATCACAATTTGTCGAAATTATATTTGGCTAGTCAAGAATATAGTATGACAATAAAAAATGTTTAACAAGCAGTAGAAATCGTTCAAGAGAAATTGCCTTCAAATTATCCTCATCTTGTGGGCTATAAAGAAAAATTTCAACAAATTCGAAAGATTCTGTAAATTGCTTTTCTTGATTTCCTCAACAAATTAGTTCGCATTGCTATTCACTTTTTTTTTGGGTTTCTCTCTGCTCATTATCGCATACGCGCATGCAACCAGGAAGACCTTCAGTAAGCCTGAAATGGGTACAGACAGAACGGACCACTTATAATACATGACTCAATAGAAAAATTTGTCCTCTACATAATTCATACGATGCTTAGCTATTTCTATTGTTGAATATATCGTTAGAAAAAAAACAGAAATTGCATCAGATATTCGATTTGAATAGATATTTCATGTTGAAATATTGTTTTCATCGTCTCCTATGTCTGCTTCGATCACAAATAGATTTTGTTATACTCTTTGTTCACACATCAAAGAAAATAGAATCTTGTTTTAACAGCGTTGATTTGTAGGAAACTGTTATTTTTGAAAATCATATTCACTTCAGTTCTATACTTTTGTTACGCTATTACTATTGGCAATAGAAAGCTTACGGAAGTCCTAACAACAAACTGTACTAATCTCACTAATCCATACATCCTTGTTTCATGAGATTCATATCCACTCTGTTCTTAGGACTGCAATAAGCTTTGTTTTTACTGCTGCTATTTATAATGTAACAAAGGTAAAGGGCTTAAGAATTATAGTCATATTTCGATTTCAAAATCTAAGAATTTCGTACAGAAAAAGATTCCTTACAAATCCATTACCTTCTTCGATCCATGGATAAGCAATACAAAAACGTCTATCGACGTATTTTCTGACTCTCCGTTCTCGAGATCATCGCAAAAGAAAATGATAACTTTCTATGTGTGTGTCTAATCGGTAAAACCTAAACAAAAAAAATCCCAAACGACTATATAAATACAAGGGTGTGGATGGGGTGTGTGTGTGTGCGTGATGGTGTGGGCATAATAAAAAAACTTCCACAGGTCTCCACAAAGATAAACGGAAACGCAACCAAATCAGACTAAAAAACTTACCACATAATAAAAACGCTTCATCAATACATTTTCCCATATAAACTCTTCGGAAAAACAATTATCAGTCGAATATCACCGTTCATGCAAACAAGAAACCCATCGCCGACAGACGAAAGTTTCTCTATTGCATAGAGCATTCAATCCTGCAACGATTCATGTACCACTTTTATCTGGACAATGGGTCTCACACCAGTATCTAGTCGAAAAGAAAACAATGGTTCCACGGGAAGAAAAATCGGAAATATATTATCTCTTCTCGAAACCATCGCCGAGAGACGAAACTTTCCCTATTAGATAGAGCAGTCAATTCTGCATCGATTGATGTACAACGTCTCTCTCGGCAGTCGGACTCAAGGTTCAAAGCATTGCTAAAATTACCACAATAATATCACAGCCTAACTAACAAAAGAATTTTTTTCCCAGTCGAACTCATTGCCGAGAGAGAATAAATTGTGAATTTGATACACCCTTTAATTGTGAGTCGAATGATATGTATATCTTCTTTCAGCAATGGGGTTGAAGATTGAATAAGTCGCTAAAATTATCACTATGATATTATAGTAAAATTAACAAAAAGAATTTTTTGTGAGTGAAACTCATTGGCAAGAGGGAATCGATCGTTGATTTGATACACCATTGAATTCTGAGTCGAATGATATATATATCTCCTCTCGGCAATGGGGTTGAAGGTTGCATAAATTGCTAAGATTACCACTATGCTATTATAGTAAAATTAAAACAAAGAAATTTTTCTGAGTGAAAGTGATTGCCGGGAGAGAATTAATCGTGAATTTGATACGGCATTGAATTGTGAATTGAGTGATATAAATATCAACTCTCCGCAATTAGGTTGAAGATAGAGAGGATTCCTAAAATCGCTACGGTGATATTGTTGTAGAGTTAACTATAAAGATTTTTTGTTGTGCGGAATTGGTTGGCGAAAGAGAAGGGTTATAGTGAATTCGATACACTATTGTTTTGTGAATCGAATGATAGATATAACTGTTGTTTGTGGGTGTAGTGTAGGATCTGCATGGTGGTATTGTGAGGGTGTAGGTACGATGTGGTGAGGTTTTCGAACGCCGTTGACTAGGGAATTTTTCTTGCGAGACGCTTCCGAGAACCAAGTGTGATATGTGTCGAAAGGAATAAATAATGGGTTGAGTTGAGGCTATGATAGCTAGAAATATACATCGTGCAGAAGGCAGTAGATAGATTCGGCTGAAGAGTGCCTTTTTATGGGATTCTGATTCGTTCTTGAGACAGCTGGTCATTTGTGAAGTGTATCTGATAGACGAGTTTTATATGATTCGATTAAGAATTCAATTCTCGATGTATTATGCATCTTGAAAAGTAGTGAATATTCTGAGATTATAAGGGAAAATAATTCTTCTAGTGAAATGAACCATCCTTTCTGAGAGGTTACCTTTGATTAGAGAATCCCTGCATCTTGGGCTATGTACGGTATTGAACATTTTTGGCATCGAATAGCACATGAAATACTGTCTCTGGCGTACGCATTTTATTTGGTGTGACACGCTGTGATAAAGAAGAGGAGAGAAATGGACGATTATGTTTGTTTTATGTAAAGGCTTGGAATCTTATGATGATAGCAGTCCTTCATGTTTTGTGAGAATTGTAAAATTTACATGTGCTAGTTATGCTTCTGGCTCTTAGTGGTTTTGAACAAGTTTGCTTTGGTAACTAAGAAAAATATATTGGTATGTTTTGGATTATTGTAGGTATTTCATGCGTGTTTTTTTATGGGTGAATTATGTCTGAAATATGATTGATCGTCGTGGTAGCTTCACGTCGATAACTTTATTTTATAAATAAAATATATCATAAGAGTTTGTTTTTGTAATTTATTTAGAACATGCAATTCGTCGATTACAAGATGAAGTAGATAATTCAGCATAATTACTTGAATCAAATCTTTAGTAAAGGTAAATAAGATACTTTTATACATAAGTTTTCATTCAGTAATATTGTATAGGTGCTAATTTTACTAGATTAACTAATTTTCTTGCTGGTACATTAAATCATATTCATTCATGTGATCCATGGTCAACCCCATCAATAACTGGATCAACAGTAATAAGAAGAAAAAAATTCATAAATAAGTATTGTTATTTTCATTATATTTATTTCTATTGGATTTGTTCTGAATGTCGTCAATTAAAAAGTGTACTTGTATTAGAATTAACTGGTAAAGAATGTTTTCGTTTTGGTTATAAACAATTTTTATCAGTTAGTATTAGGAAGAAAAATTAGTTTTAAATACTTTTTTTGATTTAGATGATTAAAGCAGCAGCACCCATACTTCGAAGACAAAAGCAAGATTATGATTCATCATCTTAAGTTATTGCTAAATTAACAAGTGAATTCAATCAAGAAATAAAAGTAATAAATAAATAAATATTTGGTTACATTATTCATGCGAGTTTAACTTTTTATTTTATTAGTAGAAGTATCTGAATTACATCAAATGTCTGATGAAAGTATTGAAAATTATCGTTATATTCAATAAGAAAACCAATTTTTAATCAATGATAATAAATCACTTGTTACAAAGGTCTGTTGATTTTTCAACTCGACAAATATTTAGAAAAATGAATTTGGAGTCAAAATATCTGTAGGAAAACTCCGCCTTAAATCTCTGATTGGCTGATTTAATTCTCTCAAAAAAAGGTACACAATAGAATTTGATAATACATATACCATCAAATAGAGAATGTCTTCCTTTTTTCAAAAACCGAACTCTCTTGACTTTAAGATTAACCTAAGCTTTGACAACAAAATCAGAGACAACATACTTACGATCATTATACAAACTAGCTTAAATCGAATAAAATCTTTAAATAGTTTTTTCTTAATATTAAACTTATTTCTTTTTTTTTTAATTAGAAATATTGTTAAGCTTCAACATACTATTAATCAAAAATTAAATAAAATAGTACGTGAAATTCGTGCATAAAATAATAATAATGAAGATCTTAATCGTACAAGATTTGATGAACTTAACAAAGAACATCACCAACAACAAGACAAATTAAAAGAAATTGAAAATCAATTAGATTCATTAGAAACACAAATTTTATTATTGTTCTAAAATCTATTCTTTTTTAATTCTTTTTTTGTTTTATTTTCTAAGATGACAACATTAATTCAAAAATGTGATCTTCTTCGTTTATTAATATCAAGTTGATCATCACAATCTGTATATGTTTAATTTCTATAAATAAATAAAATTTTTCTTTGTTGTTTTTTTTTTCTTAAGACTTTATCAACAATACAATCAATTGATATTCATAAAATAGAAAATTTATGTGATAACGTTAATCGTTCATAAGATAAAATTGAAATGCCTACAAAAAAATTACACAATCAACTAATGAAAAAGATTATCTTATAAGGTTTAACTTTTATAAAAGATAAAAAAAGTATTTTTTTTAATTGTTTTTTAGAACATCAAATTAAAAAAAATTCGTTCAGCTGAATATGAACTTTTAACAGCCCGAACTGAAGTTGAACAAATACTTGAAACAATATACAGATTCTTTTTTTTAACTAATTTTTTATGTGGAATTTTTAGTTCAAATTTAATTAATGATGAATAAATAACAAATAGATTAACTATTGCTCCTCTGAGAACAGAGATTAATGGTTGGCAAGAAAGACACAATATTGGTTCAAATGAGAAATTGCCAAGAACAATAATAGTTTCAACCGTATATTATTTAAAAAATAGAAATTATTAAATTAAATCAGAAACTGTTCAAAAAATTTGCTCTTGAAACAAAATAATAAGAAATTTAAAGCAGAAAAGCAGATTTTAATCCTCTTTCTTGAATTTGTTATACTTTAAAAATAAAAGAGAATCGAATAACTTATGTTTGAAATATACCTTCACACTGACAAAGTCACCTGATGTTCACCCAACTTCTGATACTTTCATTTTGATACTGTATATACAGAACATTAATTCAAGCTTCAATGTCTTAGGAACACCAAGCAAAGTATGGTAATAATAACAGTCGATCATTTTAAATTTTTGTTGATTCGATAGAGTAGATCAAAGTACTCACGAGTTGTCAATAAGTGACACATGATTTGAAATGTTCTGAAAACAGAGTATGAGAGAAAAATTCATTTAATATAATTCAAGGTAATTGCTTTTTTTCTGTTTGTTCTTCCGAGAACCATCTTTCCTAAACACTGTTTATAATTCTGTTATAAAATGGCAAGAAGAGCGTTGAATGAGCATTATGACACATTCTTCATTATTTATGTAAAAAAAGGATTAAACGAAAGGATTTTCGTTTGAAACTCTGCTTATATATCTAGACAATGTCCTTTAGGATATTCTGACAGTTTAAAAAGATGAATACTTCTTTTTCAAGAAGTAAAATTGTCTCGAAGACTCTATTGTATCTTATTACTATAATCTATAGGAATATTTTTTATCAATTCAATATTTCAAGAAAAAAACATGCGACGATTAAATCGTAATGATTAAACTAAAGATGCATCGAATCGAGTTCTAGTTAGTTCCGATTCTTAGGATTGATTGCAACTAACTGGAATTGGAAATGACCTAGAATTGACTTAGAATTAGTCCGCAATTGAAATTTTGATCAGTCATTCAGATTTCTGGATCGAAAGACATTAGTAAGCACGAACAAAATATCATCGACTAATCAAAACCTATGAAAATAAAAATCTGATTGACTAATAAAAATTGCAATCCCAGACATAAATCTAGTTCAGTTTCAGTCAATTCCAATTCCAATTCCAATCAGTTACAGTAAATCTTAAGAATCACAACTGATTGGAATTAGTGTGTCTCTAGATTGAACAATGATGATGGATTGTTGAATACTATTGAAACTGTCCTTAGCATAAAGACGTCTAAATAATTCGAAAACCTAATCATTATTGTAGGCTCTTCATTCTTAATGATGATACTACAATGTAGATAGATTCCTATGTATTTACAAAACAAAACTTCAAGATTACAACAAGTCAGAATCCTTCAATTTAATTCTTTTCGATAGGACGACCAACACATGACAATCTTAGACTAACTGACTATAATTCGGGTTGCATGATTGATGAATCCTTCTCATTTTAGACGTTTTTTTAGTCTTATCAAAGGTAAAAGATGAGTTTAAAAGTAACGTAATAATTCAGGAATTTCTCTCATTTCAGTGGCGGATCCAAGTTTTTGAAAAAGAGAACACTTTTTTGGGAAAAGGGCGATTACAGGCAAAACTCAATTTTATAGGGCTCATCTGAGATGGTGTAAAAAAGTTTCTTGAAAGAAGAAACAATCGCCACGTCGGCCCCCCGCAGGCCTCCCACCCACCCTCCCGCCTCACTAGACAGCTATGACTGAT